GGGGGATTATCTTCAGCCTCCGCACCTTTGTACATTCCCCAGTTAGCAATCTATCATCTTAATCACAACATGTTTCCAGGAAAGGAGTAGGAGAGAAGGATGAATAAAAGGAATACTCACTGTTAGACCACTTAGAAACTTTCATTCAGACATGTAACAGGATGGTTTAGTTGGATAAGTGTATTATTGGGTATTTTGATGAATTGGGAAGATGCCTGTTGCAAAGTTTCAGTTCCAATAAGATTTAACACTATTGTATGAAAAGGGGAGGAAATTTAATAGGGAAAGATAAAGATGATAAACTAGAGAAAAAGGCCCAGAGAACACAGGAACTTCTCTTGAGCTTGGTTTGAGTCTTTTGAGAAATAAATAATAGTCTTGGGGATATATTTGAGATCCCCAGTGGATCACTTATGGATTTAGGCTCTGTAACAGATACATTTGTTCAAATTCTGAGTTTCATTTTGGATCACACCTACCTTTTTTTGCTTCTCTTTCTTATTGATTTGTTTTTTTATTTGACAAAAAAAAATCCATTCAAATGATTCAATATTGAAATGGGCTCTGTTATGCTATAGTTTATTCTATACTCAATCAATTAATTACATTTACATATATAGTTTTGTTTTTATTTCTTGAGTAAAACTTTTATAAGCTTATCAAATTCATACATAGGGACTTTCTACATGTTTCTATCATAATTTTTTCTTTATTAAATTTTAATTCTGTGTTAAAATTTATCTGCCATTTGAAAATCTGACAGGACTTGACATGATAATTTTCAAGGAGGGCTCACCTTGAATTTAACGTAAGTTGAACACATATCTCATAAAAGCACACCAATTACTTCCAGAATGCTTCCCATCCTCTTCAAGTAATACATACAGGCTTGATACAACCAACATTAAATACACTTACAACCTAACCCATTGGAACACCACTGTGATGGAACTTGCCATGCAAGTGCCAAAAATGGTCCCCTGGTGCTTTCAATATTCTCTACTTCTTTGAAATTTTCAAAATAAATTGATCTGATATGGGAAACAGATGGCAACTTGATATTCATTCTTTTCCATCAATTTTTTTTTTTTTTTTTTTTTTTTTTTTTTTC